CACTTTTTTCAGTGTGTAAGGAGCAAATGAAGCTGTGCTTTTAGCATGCCAAGCGGCAGAAACACTGGAATGTAACAAACTCACAATTCTACCAGTATGAACATTCAGTCAACATTCAAGAACTGTCAAGACTACATCACAAGAATTTTATACTTTTTATATATCACATGATGCAATAATCGAATAATCACTGTTAATGCTGATTCAGAGCTTTTTTACCTCAGATTAAATACTAAATGGCTTTTGCAAATCTCTGTGCTATATTATGCATTAGGAATACAGTTTATTAGCTTTAAAATATGCCATGAGAGAACTTGCTGATACAAAAGGCCATTTTGTCAGTACTGTTTATTTATGCCTAATTATCTTCCTTGCTGTTATACTAGATCAGTTCACATCTGTACCTATTAAAATACTATATACAAAAGTGGCATCCTAAGATAATCTGAGGTGGAGTGGTTTTATTTGGTTAAAGGGGCTTTCTGAAATTTAAAAAGTTTACTTAAACTCAGATTCTAGCTTTAATGCTACAGTACTATTTGTGTACGTTTTCTATTCTAGAAATTTTTAAAATGTAATTTCTCTGACACTTCCCTAATGTTCAAAAACACTCAAAATTAAAACAAGCTTGCATCTAAAATAATATCCTACCTTGCTAAATTTTAAGGTGTTTTTTTTCCTTCCTCTTCCAGAAGGTTTTTAAGTGTTTTTAGTGACTATTAATAATTTACCTCACCATTATTGAAGAATCTTGTATTTGCTACCAAAGCAATGTAATTTGAATGCAAGTTATCAATGCAATTTTGACCAATTTGAATAAATACTATGTACTAGCATTACCAAATGTACTTCATACAGTACATGTAAAAAATATTCTTCAGGCATAATCCATTCAAATTTGCAAAGCAAATAACACTCAAATAACAGAACCATGCAACTTGTTAAAAAACCCAACCAAACCAAACCCAAAACCCCAAACAAAATCTAAAAATCCCACAAACAAACCATTAAATGCAAACCCCACCCTCCCAACTTCTCCAGTATCAAATTCTGCAATGCAAAGGTGAGAAACTAAATCTATAAAAAGGTTTTTATGGCTTAGTTTTGTTTTGCAGGTTAATTATGCAGCACTTGAAAAATGGAAAGGTGCAGCTTCAACTCTGACCAGAAAAAACAGAGTTAAAAATATCTCAATTTTCCTTTATCATCATGAGATACTCTTTAGGCAATCTAAATTAATAAAAACTTGCCATTTTCAGATGGACACAAGATCAAGTGTACCAGTTAGGATTTCACAGTCACAGTACATAAGAAAATACACATTGAAAGAAAAGTAAAGAGTTAACTTAACAAGGATTTATTCACAGGAATACATGTAACTAGAGAGAAAAAAATCTCAAAAATAAAAAAGCCAAAACATCAACAAAAAAGCTAAACAAATGAAATTAAGAGGATCCAAACCAACTTTCACTCCGTAGCTTTAAACTTGCACCCTTGTGCATTTAACTTACATCACAAAGGGCCACTGACATGTGCCAATACATTGTAGATACCCTGCATTACATCCATTAACTTAAACATCTCTAAGATCATGCTGCAAACAAAAGAAAGCATAAAAGTTAATACGTTGAGTGGGAATAAACACAAATATAGCAATCGTCATCAACTTCTACAATTGTCTTTACATGCCATCTAACATTTATGCAGCCCTTAATGGGTCTTACCATGTAACTCATTTTTAGAGATTCTGATAAAGATCACTAGTATATAACTATGCAGAAAGCACATCACACCAACAGTACATAGGCAAATATTTTGCACAGCTATATCAGCTTTCCACATTGTGCTGGTTCCACAAAATACATCAATCTTAATCTTAACAGAACCTAAAAAGGTGTTTCAAGGCCTAATTGTTAACTACAGTACTTTATATCTACATTCTTAATAAAAATAAGATCCACAGAATCTTAGAAGGGGAAATTTAAATGCAGGGCTATATTGAATTGGTAAACTGCAACACAAGACTGGCGCAACATTGGTAAATGTATACCAATTTAATTCTATGTGATGCAAGCATGCTACTTTCCCGCTAGCCAGAATGCATGCTTGAACCTTAAACTGCACATTAAGAATAATGCCTTACTCTAAAAATTAAATCTAATGAAGTACAATAACCAAATAATATAAACTACTTTAATTTTTTTAAAATATAAAAATTAAGATGTCCGTCTTTGAAGTGTCCCTCCCTTTACCCCAAAAATAAAAGGAGTGAGTCATTTGGCAGCTTGCAAGTTGCTTCATTTTGTCCAAGGTAACCTTATTAATTTACGACAGGATTTCTATATTGTAAGCTGCAAGTGCCTGCTCCTAACATAGACAACAAGATGCATTTTAACTGTTCTAACTTAATTTGTTTAGTTATTCATTAACAAGCAAATAACCTAGGAATCCATCAAGCAGAATGAAATAATGTAGAAACCCCTTACTTTAAAAAAAACACATAAAAGAAAGCCTTTTACTGTTTGTGACCCCCATTCTTAGGTTTCCTTTATTGAGCACAAAATAGTTTTCCTCTTCACATATCTCTATGGGTAAATTATATATGATTCTTATTTTGGTACAATTCCCCACAATTGTCCAGAATGTGCTGTTTCGTTAAAAGATTATTTTTTTCTTCTTCTTCACGTCCAGTGCAGTGTTGTAATAGGAGATAGATTTCCACTCACAAAGGCTCCAGATGTTAAAACATTTTCCAACATCAACAGTGATGGCAACACCCTCCCACCAGGGTTGGGTTTATCCTTTCCCCCAGTAAAGGGTAACATTTTCCCTGGGTGCAGAGGCTCCCTCATAATCTCCCAGACTGAAGGACCTGTAAAAGAAAATATAGAGGCATAGTTAAATCTTATCTTGAACCTTAAAATACAGATCAGTGCATAAACAAAGAGCTTTTTGCCTTTTTAAAGTGGTAGATGCCAATCTTAAAGAACAAATTTATGCCTCGATTTTCTCTTTTAAGTTTGTATAAGAGAAGAGTCCATTTATACTAAATAAATTATTACTCATGAAACAACACTGTATACTTTAAAGCTACGCTGACAGTTCCACTATTGTGGCTAAACTTAGATTTAAGATAAAAAGCAGTTCTACATATTCTAATAAGCTTTTGCCTTTTTAGTACAAGATTATGAGGCAGTAATGACATTAAGAAGGAATACTAAACTGTCCTGGTTTGAGCCAGGATGAAGCCAATTTTTCTTTTTACTGATTTTTTTTCCTTCAGTATGCTTTCTTGTAACTAGCAACAGTGTGTTCTGCTAGGCTGATAAGACAGTGGAATGTTTTTCTAACTACTGAGGCTTCAGGGCCGCACCTGCACTCTGCCGGCTCAGACACTATGGGGAGATCTGTGACCCCCCCGTAGGAGGCTGAGTTAGACAGACAGCAAAATTGGCCAAAGATATTCCATTCCATATATCTACGTAAGCTCAAAGGAAGGTCAGAGATCACAGAAGACAACTTCCTTCCTTCTTCTTCCCCCCTTCTCTTCCGTCCATGGCCGGCGTCCAGGGAGGACTCTGTTCATCCATCACCGTCGACCCTTAGGCTCGATCTCTTATGGCCCTCATCACTCTGTGCTTTATCCTGCAGCAGCTCTGGGATTCCTCGGGACTCTTCCCAGTTCAGGGAAGTGCTGTGGGAGTTGCTGGCCTTCCCTACCTGGGTGGGAGGGGGAGGGGATCGAGAGCATTGTTGTCGGACCTGAGTCAAACTGTGACATAAACACACCGTCTATTGACTTAACTATTTCACTTTTAGGTGGATTAAACAATATAGCCATAGTGTCTCCTCAGTACAAACTGAGAATAATTGACAAGTTTACCACTTTGGATTCCTCTTCATTAGGATGAAAAAACTCCACTTATTTCAGAATGAAAATGCCCTCATTTATAAATATGTAGATGTTTGAAATGGGTTTATTTTAATCCATTGTTCAGATCAAATATAGTTCAAATAATTTCTTGTGTCACTGACTGAGAAATCTTAGGTTGACTTTTAAATAGTTTTCCATTCAACAATAAAACAGAATTGCATGATTCACTCCCAAAATTTCAGTACAAAAAATCTAGAGCACATATCAAATTTATATAAAGATTGAATGAATAAATGTAATTTGCAGTGGGTTTTGGGTAGTAAATTAATCTCTTCACAATATCACATTGCATGTGGGAACTTTATACAGTGTACACAAACAGTGTTACAAAGCCAGGTGGTATAATACAAGTATTCTAGAATGCACAATAACTGTTCTTTGCTGAAGTTGAATCATTCCCCAGACACAACTGTAACAATTCTGAATTGGTGTATAAAGTGGAAGATAATAACAACAAACATATCGGCCTCCCCAAAACATCAAGCTCTAGAGTCAGTAGAGTTACAGATTAGCATAACATCCTTTATTCAGTGCAAAGATCATCTAGTATGTGGTTAAGAATATACTTGACTTCTCATGTCTAAAGTGTCTTAAACTTACTTTCCTCTCCTAGGGAAATATTCCTGGTTTGACTACATCCACCATCTACTACTTCATAAGACATAAAGGAGCCTATGAGTTCAATATGATAGATTGAGGATTATAATAATAATTTTGCTTATCAAACCTGAACAGGCACTTTGTTACACCTACACTTCCAACCTTAGTTTGATACACTACTGTGCATATCATACACTCACTCTCTCTCTCTCTGTAAAAATAAAAGAACAGAGTAAGGCAACTGCTTTTGCTATAGCTACCACCATTAAGGTACACTACCATCTTTTTTTATTATTTCTTATAGGAAGGAAAGTTATCCATTCCAACATATCTAAAAAACTTTAGTTAGTGAATTAATTGTTTCATATAATGTAAATAGGGAGGAAGTCTGTTATATGGCTCTGTTTAGCAAGGAAGATTTGTGTGCTTACCTCTAAATATTGGACTGCCGCTACAGTGCATAAGATTAAACTCCATAGTAAGCTGCAAGGCGCTCTTTTAAGGGAAGAGGAAACTGGTCAGAGAAACGCCTCCAATTCTCATCCCCAACTTGATTTTTAAATCCATGAAGAATCTACAAACGGAGAGAAATCAAGATAACAATTAAACAGCAGATACACAATCAATATTTACAAGCAACATCTGCAGTAAGCCACAAACTGCTGGATTCTGCATCTGTGCATTTAAATTCCTCAGTTTAATATTTAAATGTTACTAAGAAACAAAGGAAGTTTAGTAATGTCTTTCTTAAAGAAAAAACACATTTCAGTTAAGGGTAACATATAGAATATAGCTACACACAAATTATTATAAAATATAAACATATTTATTCTATACTGTGTAAATATAAATATACATGTATGCACTTTTAATGACTATGGTGACTTACAACCTAGAGAAGGCCATTTCAGAATGCTAAATGTTTTGTTAATTGACACAGTTTATATGTTAAGATTACTGTATTTACTTTTTTTTCTTAATGTGTAATATTTTCTAGGAGGAAAGCTGAGACAGAAGCACTGTTGGCATTTCACAGAACCATAGAATGGTTTGGGTTGGAAGGGACCTTAAAGATCATCTAGTTCCAACCCCCCTGTATGGACAGGGACACCTCCCACTAGACCAGGTTGCTCAAAGCCCCATCCAACCTGGCCTTGAATACTTCCAGGGAGGGTGCATTCACAACTCCTCTGGGCAACTTGTCCTAGTGTCTTACCAACCTCACAGTAAAGAATTTCTTCCTAAGGTCTAATCTAATAATTTGTCAGGCACGATTTGCCCTTAGTGAAGCCATGTTGACTGTCATCGATCACCTTCTTATTTTCCATGTGCCTTAGCAAAGTTTCCAGGAGGAAACTCCATGATCTTGCTGGGCACAGAGGTGAGACTGACTGGCCTCTGGTTCCCTGGATCTTCCTTTTTTGAAAATGGGGCTTATGTTTCCCCTTTTCCAATCAGTGGGAACTTCAACAGACTGCCATGGCTTCTCAATTATGATGGATAGTAGCTTAGCAACTTCATCTGCCAGTTCCCCCAGGACCTGCAGATGCATCTCATCAGGTCCCATGGACTTGTGCACTTTCAGGTTCCTTAGATGGTCTCAAACCTCATCTACCCCTACTGTGGGTGGTTCTTCATTCCCCCAGTCCCTGCCTTTGCCTTCTGTGACTTGGGCAGTGTGATTTGAGCACTTGCTGGTGAAGACTGAGGCAAAAAAATCAGAGTATCTCCGACTTCTCCATATCCTGGGTAACCAGGTCTCCTGTTTCCTTCTGGAGAGGGTCCATGTTTTCCCTCATACATACACATAGAAGCTTTTCTTGTTGCCTTTGATGGCCCTGGCCAGATTTAATTCTATCAAGGCTTTAGCTTTCCTAACATGATCCATGGCTGCTTGGACAGTATCTCTGTATTCCTCCCAGGCTACTTGTCCTTCCTTCCACCCTCTATAGGCTTCCTTTTTGTGTTTTAGTTTAGTTTTTTAGTTTGTCCAGAAGCTCCTTGTTCATCCACGCAGGTCTCCTGGTGTTTTTGCCTGACTTCCTCTTTGTTGGGATGCATCACTCTGGAGCTTGGAGGAGGTGATCCTTGAATATTCACCAGCTTTCTTGGGTTCCCCTTCCCTCTAGGGCTTTATCCCATGTGTCCTGGTTTGAGCTAGGATGAAGCAAATTTTCTTTTTACTGATTTTTTTTTTCTTCAGTAAGCAGCAAGTTTTCCAGCTAGTGGACAGATAACTCTGGAATGTTTGTGTTACTGCCAAGACTTCAAGGACACTTTGCTCTGCGGCCTCAGTTGTACCTGCAACCCTCCCATAGGGAGGAGTGGACTAGATGGACAGCAAAATTGACCAAAGTATTCCATTCCATACATCTATGTAAGCTCGGTATAAGGTCAGGGATCACAGAAGTCAACTTCCTTCCTGCTTTTTCTTCCCTTTTCTTCCGCTCATGGCCGGCATCCGGGGAGGACTCCATCTATCAATCACGTCTATCCAGTCACTGTGGGACTGCTCACAGCTAAGGAGAGTGCTGTGGGAGTTGCTGGGGGTGGGGAGAGGCAATAGGGGTTTGCACATTCCTGCACATACTTGTATATAATTGTACATGTTTTCTTATCATTAGTATTTAATTAAAGCTGTCTAGTTTAATTTTCAATCTGGGAAGTCTCTCTCCTTTATTATCTATCTCCTTTCACCACCTGGGTGGGAGGGGGAGGGGCATATTTCTAAGTATGTACTTAGAAATATGCTCTGTTTTATCTTTAAGAGGACCATTAACTTTTTACATACATTCTTCCTAAAAACAGAGATTTCACTTTACAACATACAAGGGGAGCCACGTTACTGAACCGTAATAGCCTCTGTTCATGAAACTAAAACAATTTTATTTTGTTCTGTTTTTTAACCTTAAGACACTAGTGTCAAAACATAACATTACTTTCTGAGGTTTTGGTTGGGGTTTTTTTGCTTGTTTATTTTACACAATGCAATTGTGCAATTTTAATTTTTAGAATTTAATCTACTGACACTTTGTTTAGAGATGCATTCTTGGCTATCACTGTAGATTAGTTTCTTGAAGACTTGCTTATCCAAGAGGGATTCTGAGGAGGATTAAGGAATCCCAAAAACTTATTTTCAGCTGAATCAAGATTAACAGATTAAGATACTGATGGAAGAATTTTCATTTGCAATTTTCTAGATATTTCTCAAAAAAAAAAGTTAGCACCTTGGGGGGGGGAAGGAAGTCTTGAACCACACAGATTTCATTTTCTAGAAAAGAAAAAAAAACCAAAACACCAGAATAAACAAGTCTTATGTGTGGTATAAAAAACCACCTTGTTCTTTCAAATGCAATCAAAACATATTGGGCTGGACATTATGAAACGTTCTTTGAGGATAATTATCCTTTCAAAGAAGACCTCAAGTGAGCTTGTCAACACTGTTAAAAAGAAATTTGGAATAACCTGAAAGCATGTAAGAAAATACAGATAAAAAACCTTCAGATTTGTATGATGTTCTGTCTGAAAGTTTATAACTTTGCAAGAAAGCCTTCATGACCATAAATACAATAAGTGCTAACAGTGCAAATAGAAAGCAAGAAAGAAACAGAGGATCCAAAACAAGCACAGTTCAGATATACTGTCATACTAGAAACATTACCTTACAGAACATGTCTCGGAGATCATCTTTTGGGCTAATCCACGATGCAACAGCATCACAAAAAAAAATAAAGTCCTATAAGATTAAACAATCACATATGTTAGAAGCCTCAATTTATAGGTCTGAAAACAATGCTTGATGTTCGTTCTATTGGATCCGAATTCCTAACGACTTTTGGTTTTATGTCTATTTTCCAGGTAATTCAGACAATAATGGTAAGTTTTTGTATGCTTAAGTGTATGGAAATAGAAATAGCTGAGTGTAGGAATAGCTTTGTTTAATCAGGTTTTTGATTAATTAAAATCACAGTTTAAAAAAACCCCAAAATCAACAAACACGTCCTCCCCTCCCACACACTTGTCTAATTATTTAAGTAAACGTATGCTGTTGTATTTCTTTAATTAGAGCCAGAAGTTGTTTCTGGGATACACAAAATGTTTATCATACAGGTTCAAAATTAAGGCCACCCCAAAATCCCTATGTTTAGTTCATCTGCTGTCATGCATTACCTCCTATTACACCATTAAAACATCAATCTTAATGATTAAGTTGATAATGCATATGTGTTTCGATAGGAACTGAGGATAACAACTACATAGGAGGAGAGTTAGGATAATGAAGAGAGTCTTTCATTAGTCCCTCCCTTTAAGCTAAGTGAAAGAACAAATGGGCAGCAGAAGAGGGAAATGCTAAGTACAGAAAAAGGGATTAGTGAAATGAACTGAAAAATTCAAAACAAGATAGAGGCTCAATTCTTGTGTTTCAGAAAGAAGGATTCCAGGCAGAGGAGAGGGAAATTCACCTTCATTTTCCTCTTAGAAAATATTACAACACTACAGCTTTACTTTGGAGCTGCAGAGACTAAAGAGCAAGTAATATTCTATTATTGAGATGTACCATTTAATTTAACAAGATACATCTTCCTTGTCATAGTGACTATTTAAGCAAAATATCCAAAGTTGAAACAGAATCTTCCCTACCCAAGTTTTAAGAATTAAGGGGCGATTATTGTTTTTGTTCTGCTTCTTTTTTTAAAAGCCTAAATTGCATCTTAAAGATAGATTTTAGTATGTCAACTTTTGCCTTGTATTTTCATACATATCATCAACATAAAAGACTGACAGAAGTATCAAAATACAGTTAATCAAAGTTAATTATTTACATATTCTTTGTAAGTAAAAGACAAAAAAATAATTTAACAATATTGTCCTTTCTTTTCCAATTACTGAAGCAGAAATCCTGAAGTATCATATGTATCATTTGAAATATAAACATTTTGGACTTCTTGATGTCAGAAAAGCTGTTACAATATGTACTACAGGGAATCAACATCAAGTTAAACTTTTTTATACTCCATATATAGCTTTCACTAAATTTCACATGATTAAAGAAAAAAAAGTTAAGATCTATTTATGTATCTTACTTGGACTACTCCACTGGGGTTGACTGAGATCATGGTACATATCCCACGGAATGCTGAATCCTTTTCCTCATTGTCTCTTATGTTTCGCAGAGAGGTGCACCTAGTAAGTTGGAGAGCAAAGCATAGCTAGTTCTATTACTTTTTCATTCAGTCAAGTCAGAACTAGATGACAGTATTTGATGGAATAAGTCACACTGATAAGAAAATCTGAAACTACTTAGATACTTGTTGCCCACAGTTTTTACTAGTATATTCCCATTAGGCATCATGTCCAGAATCTTGCTTTCCTGATGCACTATATACAGTTAGAAAGAGTGAACTGTATTCCATTAAATACAAAAAAACATGTATATGAAATTTTTATAGAAACTATCATTATTAGAAGCAGAACATATAATACTATCACAGTATGAATTATGTCAGATACCACTTACAGAACAGTTATTTAACTTTTACAGCAGCAAGCAAGCTATATTATACATAACAAGTCTAGAAACATATTCCTTACAGCAATTCAAGTCTGTGACTGAATTTTAAGTAATGCACAGTTTAGGTTTTACAATATTTGCATGCATTGCATTATCATTTTAGTGGATTTTAAAATGCTCTTTAGTAGTCAAGCTTTAACACACAAGCATGTGACAATCTTATCCCATGCACAAATTAGTTGTTAGCCACAACATAAAGAATACATGACAGTGCTACTAAAAGCTCACAAACCTGATAGGACAAGATTAGTCACATGGTTGGCAATGATTAAGGATTGAGATTTTGTAACCAACTGAAAATATATCTAAAAGTGAGATAGAAGGAAGAAATAAAGAGAGTGAAGAAAAAATGAATTTTAAAAAAAAAAAAAAGATTGAATAATACACACCAGGGTCTTATAAACTGCTGTAGCATGGGGGCCACCTCTTGAGGACAAACGTAACCAAGACGACCAATTGTTATTGCTAAGGTAATGCAATCACGGTTATACACCACCAAACGCCAACCAAGACATGAGCAAATGAGGGGGGGGAGGAGAAAAAATAAAGAAAAAACAACAAATAACTCAGAAACAGAAGCCAACAGAATTTGTGTATGATAGTAAACATAAGATTTCACCAGTGCTGTTTATTACCACACCCTAAATAAGAGGCAGCAACATATATGGTATACTGTCCAGGGTAAAAGAAAAATTAAATAAGAAAATGAGAGAACACCAAAAAACACAATTTAAAATCCAAAGGCTTTCTGATGTAAGCATTCTACTCTCTTCAGAATCATGTCTTACAGTAAATTTACCTACCATACACTTCAAAATTTTTATTAAAAAGTACTATTATGGATACTGTTAACAGAACAGAATTAACCAACTTCAGCTTTAGTATCAGGTAGTCCTAAACATTTTATTTTTTCAATATTTTTAATTAAAGATTTTAATAGGCCTATTATCTATCAGTAAAAATACATTTATAAATACTATCACATTTAATATATTGTGGTCTATCTAATAAATGCTAAATAGATTAAACACTTTTCAAAGAGCACCAAATATTTGTTTTCTTCATAATCTTGTAGAGAATTTAAAGTGGTTGCTAACTCACGGCAACTGACTGCAGTAAATTAATTATTTAATCCCAGTATTTCTCCTGTGCAGAAAAGGCTTCCTCATAAAAGTTGTATAAGAATCTGACTTCTGATGCAAAAGCATAAGGACACATGAAAAGCATAACTGCTTCTTTGAATGATTAGTTAGTGTGGTCCTTTGTTCTGAGGGACAGACTGAAGAAAATAGCACAATGCAAATGTGTTTTAATGGTGTTTGCTCAACTTATGAAACATTAATTTTAGAAAAAGGAGAAGGTGGGGAATAATGTATCAGGATTACTTGAAGCAAAATACATAAATACTACTAAAATCCAGCAGATTTATATGAAGCAGAGAAAGGAAACCTATGTTCAAGGGACATACACTAATAAACAGGCAGTTGTGAACAGTTTCATGGAACATGCAATAAAGCAGATGATGCTTTCTCCCTCTAAACTTTTATTAGTTTAGTGTAGGATATACTAGCAGTGTGAAACTTACTCACTCCATGAAAGCTGAGGCTCACTGGTACTGTACTATTTTGCCCAAACATTAGTCAATTTCTATATGCAGTGTCTCAAATTTTTGGCAGAACTTATAAAACTGCATTAAATTAAATTAAAATACACTTTTAAGGTTTATCTGTAAGTTCTCATAGCTACAGTATGTACAAGGAATAGTAAATTCTGTCAAAGCTTAATTTTTTGTCATATACTCATTTTCTATGCAACTACTTAAGGTGGTCTTGTATGTTTCCATAGAAAACAGTAATACTCTTGCATGTACCAATGGCATGCAGCACAAGATCCCACAACAAACTTATAATAAGTACACCACATTCAACATTTATTTGCAGTTATGCATCTATGTTTAAAGTAACTATTAAGATACTAAAAAAGTCAGTGTTTGGATGCTTAAAAAAATTCCCTAGCAGTGATTTGATGGAAGCAAACATTTAAGTACAGGATGCTTCTCAGTTAAAGGTATTACACATCCATCAGTGCAAACAAAGGGGGTCAGGGCAAGGGGAAAGAAAATTTATATTGCTATACTATTCCATGATTTATTTAATAACAAGTAGTTATTTACTCCAAAATTATAAATTAAAAAAGCAATACCTATAATATGCCAGTAAACTAGGCAATTTTTCCTTCAAGTTCACCTTCCATACTAAATGAGGGGATAAAAATCTCTCTCCAATTGATCTCCTACTTAGCTCAAGAAAAATGTAACTGTAGCACTGAATTTGCATAATTTTCAATTAGCTCAGTTATAATGACTAAACTATCATTTTTCTTACAAGACAGTTTTCAAACAGAAAAAAGTCAAAAGATTATCAATTAGTAAAACAGTAAACCAGAACCCTGTTAAATTATTTTAAAAGTTTTGCTGAAGTATGGAAGGTTCTCTTCATACCAGAACATGCCCTCTATAAATGCAAAAGTAACAAGCCTCAGAAATTCTGATTCAATGAGGCATTTGGGGACTGCTCCCAATTTGGAAGGCAAAGCTGCTGGCCAGAACACAGAAACATGCATGCCATTCTTTGACTTCTTTTCAGAACTTTGTTATTGACTAGGTAAAATAAGTTCTACACAAATTCAATTATGTTGTAGTAAAACTGTCATCAAAGATCTAGATTTTTGAGCATATTACTACAAATGAATCTTTAAAAAAAGGTGCATTTTTTGTAAATAGCACACGTGTAAGGACATGCATATATTAAAATCAGTGCAAAGCCACTAAGTCTGTGTTACTGCACATGTATCATAAATAAAAATGGAAGAATACTTAAATAGATGATAAATAAATATAAAATGTTATAAAGGTGAGAAAGTAATAACGTTAATAATCTAGATAGATGATAGATGTTTTGCTGCAAGGCTGAGACTTGTAAGAGCTTCTGCAAAACAGAATTGGGTTTGCTTGTAAAAGCCAAATACATAGCAATAAAATAATTTCTATGCAATTTTTGAAATAATTATAAAAAGAAATATTCTCTAATTTCCTTCACCATGAATAGTTCAGTTTTTGGGTACCTGTGTTCTCTAACAATGTCTTTGGTGTGTTGGGTCTGTTAATTATTTCTACAAGCTGGTGCAACACCATTGGAACATAAGGCTGCATCTCTATACCTGAAACAGCCAAAAAGAAACATTCAGAAGAAAATTACCATTAATATACATAATATATTTTGATCTGATACATTGAACTTACTGTCAAGGACAAGAATATAAAATTTGATTTAAATTTTAACATGAAAATATCACTAAAATTTAATAATTGCCCCCAGACAAACCATTCTAAATGTGCAAAGATTAAAAGAAAAAACAATTTAAAATCTTACCCATCTGGATGGAGATTTCTCCAATTGCCCAGGTGGCATTGTTACACACAGAAATAAATTCAGGGTTTAGGTTGGTTCCCAAAATGGGCATGAAATCAGCTAGAAAGAACAACATTTCAAAATCTCATTACATAATACAACCATATTGTCCCATTACTGTAAGATCACAGGGTGTAAAAAGGTTTAAAAAAATCATGTAAGCATATTTAAGTTATTTTAAAGTATTACACCTGAATTAACAAGAGCTGTAGTTCTGCTATATATGAGATCAACCTGGATTTAACAACCTAAGAAGATCAATGCAAATCTTTTCAAACTATGATTTAAAAGTATTTCTAATAGGCTTTATTTTTATGTAACTCTATAAACATTTTTTCTCCCCTTTCCGGGGATGGGGGAAGAAAAAACCTACACGGATTGCTATGTATTCAGATGTACTAAAATAAAAATAAAATAAAACAACAAAAAATCTCCCCCAAAAAACCCCAAACCCTCAACAACAAGAAACCCAAAAAAACACCACCAAACAAAAGCCCCCCTCAAAAAACCCCAGCAGCCAACAACAATGAAGCCTAGAAGGCAAATCACAGGCTTGATTAAATTTTAATAAAATATTAGACACGAAAATAAATTATAACATCTGCCAACAAAATTTAAAATCCCAAGTCTATCCAAGCATTCATGTGAAGATAAGTGTATCTTAAAGAGTATCTGAGGGAAGAGACAGTGAGTATTGTGGAAGTGTATAACTGATGCTATTTCCCTACTGAAATTAAAAACAAAACAAAAAACTGCACAAACCTACCCTCTACCCAAGTTTTTGAATGTCAATATATATAAACTATATGAAGCAATAGATTCTAGTAGAACAAAAAATCTACAAATTCAAGAATTTGTCAAAGAAAGCAACTGTTCTAATTGAAGTCTAAATATTACAGAATCACAGAATTGTTCTGGTTGGAAAAGACCATCAGGTCCAATCATAACCTAACTATACCAACCAGTAACCTAACTCTACTTAGTCCAGTGCTTAAACCATGTTCCTAAAGACCACATCTATACATCTCTTAAACACCTTCAGGGATGGTGATTCAACCACTTCCCTGGGCAGCCTGTTCCAGTGTTTTATTACCTCAATATCTAATCTAAACCTCCCCTGGTGCAACTTGAGGCTGTTTCCTCGTCTTATCACTTGTTACTTGGGAGAAGAGACCAATCTCCACCTCGCTACAACCTCCGTTCAGGTAGTTGTAGCTGTATTCCAGCACAACAGGAAGCATGTTACATTATAAAACTCAAGCAGCAAAATTAGCTTTTGCACTGTCAACAAAAAAGAACATCATGTCTTAAACACACAGTTCTAAGGAGAAAAGACTACAGACCCTTGCTGATAAAGGAAAATTAAAACTTACAAAACCATGAGAAGGCAAGCAATGGAAAAGGGAACTTAATGGCTAAATCAGTCTCTTATCAGTCTGCAAAACATGTTAATTATTTAATATGTAAAAGAAACATACCAATGCAAGGCTTAACATGCCGAAAACACGCCTTTGTCAGATCACCTAACAATGCAAAAGAACTCTGCCGTACCTCAGGCATTTTATCCTAAAGAGAGGAAAAAAAACAAAACACCTGACAATTCTAGAAGTGTTTCCAATTCTCTTGAGAAAGAAAATCCTTGGACTTGTGATGGGTTGACTTTGTCTGGCTGCCAGGTGCCCACCAAACCACTAGCATTCCTCTCCTCAGCAGGACAGGGGGAGAAAATTAGATGGAAAAACCCAACCCGTGGATCAAGATAAAGACAGTTTAGTAAAGAAAAGCAAAGGTCGCACACGGAAGCAAAGGAAACAAAAAGGTTTATTCTCTACTTCCCATCAGCAGGTGATGTCCAGCTACTTCCTGGGAAGTAGGGCCTCAGTATGTGCAGCTGTTGCTCCAGAAGACAAACACCTTAATAATGAATGCTCCCTCCTCCCCCCCAAAGCTTTTATTGCTGAGCATGATGTCATATGGTATGGAATATCCCTTTGGTCACTTTGGGTCAGCTGTCCTGGCTCTGTTCCCTCCAAACCTCTTGCCCACCCCCAGTCTACTGGCCTTTGGAGCAGGGGTGTTAGAGAGAGAACCTTGATGCTGTAGGGGCACTGCTCAGCAATAGCCAAAACATTGGTGTGTTATCAACACCTTTCTAGCTACCAATACTAAGCACAGCACTGTGAGGGCTGCTATGGGGAAATTAAACTCCATCCCAGCCAGACCCGGTACAGGATTAAACAGGTTCCTCATCTCACCTGCATGCATTGGTACATTAGTGTCAGGATATTGCTGCAAGCCACTAGCTGTTCAATGTTGCCTCCAAGTCCTTCAGCTAAACCACTGAGCAAATCAAGAGCCACAATCATGAAATCTTTATCTGGAGCCTCATATTGGTCTGGCTGAGCATTATGCAACTGCAACAAATAAGTATGCATTTTCAAAATGAGTATTAGGCTTTCTCAGGGGTATAAAAGTAAAACCAAAATGAAACAAAAAATTAGTTTCAGAACTGCAACTTCATTTAAATATCCAATGCTTAATACTACAAATCTCCCTGCAAACCCATAACTGTACATAGTTAATACATTTGTTTAAGGAGATATTCTGAAAATATTTGACTAACAATAGAAAAAATACCATGGTTTGTGCAAGAGTCTTCTGCACCAGATTTACACAACGCTGGTACACAGGTTCACAGTATGGAAGAAAGCCAGATTGCAAGGCAGTAGCAACTGAAGACAGGCACTGGAATAAAATAAAATAAATAAAAAACAGAAGAGCAAGAGAGACACTAACTTTCCTCACCTCCCTGAAGTACCTTTTACTTGGGAGAGGTAGAGGTAAATTAAAAGCATTTTAAGTATACCCACAAGTAATTGATTAAGTAAAAACAACCTAGAAAGGCAATACCAATTAGCTAAACCAAAGCAACTGTCAGCTAATCGTTACTCTCTCCTACATATGTCAGTTGAGAAAATTTCTCAGAAGTAGCATCTTCTTAAGAGGCCAAGAAAGTTCATATGAAGACAGTTACTATAATTCAGCTAGCACTTGCATAAACTTCAGTATCTTGACCATGTACAAGCCCTAACATTACCCCAAATTTATGAAATTAATTTCTCTAGAAGTGTTTTCCTGCTTCACACTTGGAAAGTACAGAGAATAGACTACATGGTCTGATTCATACCTTCAGCCTGTCTGATAATAGTTTTAATGGAGGGATGAAGGAAGAGCAAGGAGAGAGAAGACAAGAACAACAGGGTATAGAACAATTTTTTTTTAAAAAAAAGAATCCCAAATAAAACATTCAAGAATGGCAGAAAAATATCAAAAAGATTTCTGCTAAACCTAATGACATTTCCTCAGTCACAAGATTTTCCCGCTATAGTCATAATATTTTCTCCATAATGGGAAATACCTAACACTGTCAGCTTTTATTGTCACACTTCCTAAAAGTAGCTTTAGTAAAAGTGGCAATTCCTAAAGAAGGTTGACAAAACACATTCAAATGTTATAATTTACCTCTAATAAAGGGAAGAGATCTTTATCTTCATCCTTCAACATGTTCCACTTCTGGATTAATGGAGGCATTAGCATCTGAATATATTCCTGTTTAGGATGAAAATGCATCAGCTACTGAAAAATTTCATTGCATACTAGTTTATTTCAAAGCTAGAAAATGGATATATTAAGAATTTATATATTCTACTTTTTCAAAAAAAGAAAATTGTTATACTGTAATTCAATCATTGTTGCAATATGTAGAAGTAGTTTAATATTAGAATTTACAATTTATGTCTTAAGATTTTTTTGCTGAGGCACATAAGCACTTTTGCAGAATGAATCTTTTCCTCCAGATTTGGCTTCAGTCTAGCAACTTTTGATAGCTGCCTGGGTTGTTACAAATCTATAGGATTGCCTCAAGGCCTAAAAAAAATGTTTTTACCAGCAATGCAATCTGGCTGTGCATCAGGGTATAGAACAATTTTTTTTTAAAAAAAAGAATCCCAAATAAAACATTCAAGAATGGCAGAAAAATATCAAAAAGATTTCTGCTAAACCTAATGACATTTCCTCAGTCACAAGATTTTCCCGCTATAGTCATAATATTTTCTCCATAATGGGAAATACCTAACACTGTCAGCTTTTATTGTCACACTTCCTAAAAGTAGCTTTAGTAAAAGTGGCAATTCCTAAAGAAGGTTGACAAAACACATTCAAATGTTATAATTTACCTCTAATAAAGGGAAGAGATCTTTATCTTCATCCTTCAACATGTTCCACTTCTGGATTAATGGAGGCATTAGCATCTGAATATATTCCTGTTTAGGATGAAAATGCATCAGCTACTGAAAAATTTCATTGCATACTAGTTTATTTCAAAGCTAGAAAATGGATATATTAAGAATTTATATATTCTACTTTTTCAAAAAAAGAAAATTGTTATACTGTAATTCAATCATTGTTGCAATATGTAGAAGTAGTTTAATATTAGAATTTACAATTTATGTCTTAAGATTTTTTTGCTGAGGCACATAAGCACTTTTGCAGAATGAATCTTTTCCTCCAGATTTGGCTTCAGTCTAGCAACTTTTGATAGCTGCCTGGGTTGTTACAAATCTATAGGATTGCCTCAAGGCCTAAAAAAAATGTTTTTACCAGCAATGCAATCTGGCTGTGCATCTGACACGTGCTTTTCTCAGCCATCTCCCATTGCCCTGATGCTACAACCCTATCCCCCCAAGTTTCTGAAACCTTTTTCTAAAGCAACTACCCATCCATGAACAAAGTAATTTTCTATTCCTCCAGAAGGGCACACTTACCAATTCTATATAAAGATGTTGCATCTTGCTGTCACAGTCACAAGGACATTAAGCAAGGCATCCCTGTAGTACTGTTGCTCCCAGAAAGCATCCAAAGAGCTAACAGATGCTGTATGTTAATGCTATGTCCAAAGATACAAGTTACTGAAGAAAGTCCCACCATCACCAGGTGGTCCCATTGACCTTCCTCCCAGTGCTGTCAAATGTCAAGCTGGCCAGGGCCAGAAAGAGACTGAAAAAGATATTTTTTGATTGTGCGGAGTCTTGGATGGCAAGTAAAATGCCATGGCAACAACCCAATTTTTTTATTCTAGTGTGTCTATGTCATATGAAGCACTAAAGAGAAATAAAGCAAATTTCAATATCCATCATAAGATGCACATGTGACATGCATATCCTATTAATGAACATATGTACACTACAAAAAGCTCACTATATTTGCCTGTGTGTTATCTGTGCTTTGTCCAAAGGATTCTGTGTTTTTATATATAAAAAGCACGTCTGTTCCATTCTCTGATAAAGCAATTTCTAATTATGATGTGCTCCAATACATTGGAAAGACACACAGAGCAGCTTAGCTATACTGAAAGTGGTTAACAAAAAAGAAAAGGTCATTAGAAATTAGCACACAATTTCTTTCAAGTCTCATTTCATATCTATATTGATATATGTATCTCCTATGAGCTGAAAAATTTTGAGAATGAGAAAAAAAGGTCACGATAATGAGAAGCACATTTCACAAGCCACTGCACACACAATTGTTTATTCAAATAAGGAATATTTGTGTAGTGGGAAAATTACATGCAGTCTATGTATTTTACATCTAAATATTTATTATTATTGAAGCCTACACAGAAAGGTCAGCATTTCTATTTTATAACATGTAAAGCACACTGCAAAAACCACCGAACTGTTTTTTCAATATATGACAAGTGCTTCTACAGAACATAAGGTATACGCACCGGTTTATTTAGATGATGTCCTACAGAATCTGCAAGAGTTCCTATAGCATCATAAAGAATGAGCAGGTTTTTATGCTGGTATTTGCTAAATGCGAAGACCAAAGTATCAAGTATATATGCAAGATAAGGAACAAGCTCTGTACAAGCCTCCTCTTCTAGAGTAGCAAAGGCACTGAATGACAAAAAAACCATCCCAAACAGGTCAGTCATTATCTTGGAAAGAACAAAACAAGACCACTCCAAAACACTCCATACTACGCATTTCTGTCTAAACACAGAACTGTATTTAGTCCTCAAATTCATCCAAGGTATTTTTTCAAAATGGTATTACTGAGATAAACTCAATCTATTTTGACTGAATACAAAGATTCATCTCTTACATTGCGATGAGCATAATTTAAAAATATTCCTGTAAAACCTGTTATGTATACACATTACAGATCTAATTCTGTTTTATGAAGAAACTTTTTTGGCAGTCTGCTGCGTACACTCCTGCCCCACACAAACTGACATGTAAAAGCTTTATTTGTTGAGCTTCCTGCACAAGAGGGGTACCCATTCCATTAATGGTGTATCCATAATTTTTTTTATTTTTTTATTTAATATCAGCAGACAAGGGGAAGAAAGGAATCTTACCTACAAGGATCTCCTTTGAAGAGAAAGGGTATAACCCTTGAAATAACTGTAACCCAAATGTTTTTGTAATCCCGAGCTAAATATAAACTACATCACTAATACAATGATAAGGTAATTTTCCTTTGTCATCATTATTGATCTTGTTCATAGGCATATAAAAACCAGATTTCTGATCAATGAAAATTCAAATATTGAAATTAAACTGGTATCACATACAGATATTTAGCTTGGTGATTCATATATTCTGAAAACAAAATGGACAAGAGAAATACAAATTAACTTTTTTCATTGTATTACAACTCAGAGTAATTTGTGACTACTTCAGAAGAAGCCTAACCTACTCCAATTTAAAAGGAAAAAAATAAAATACATTAAGAGCTAGAAATGAAGTTGTGTATTCATCAATAAAGGCATTAAAATAGTTTCACATGAAAAAGCAATGTCACAGTGCTTTTTGTTTAAGCTTTGGCTCACCTGCAGGCAGCTTCTTGTACTCTCTTGTTGCTATCCAAAATACGTTTTAGCAATTCAGTCATTAATGGCTTCAAGTATATGTCTGGGGGTTGACTAACTACCCAGTGTGCATAGCGACTAAGAGTCCAGCATGTAATGGAGCGCACAAGAGCCTTTTTGTTAGAGAGGCACTGAATAAGGTGAGGGATAAGCTCAGGAAGATATGGAATCATACCCTGCATGCAGCCTAGAAGGAAAAATACAGCTATTACAGTATGATAATTAGAAAATGTAATAGAACTTGTTATTTCCTAAAAGGGACCTATTTACATCCTCTATCATGTAGTAATATATTTTAACAACAAATAAAGCAAGTCTACTTTATTTAAGTTCTAAAATGAAACCTCACCATAAACAATCATTAAAATTTCTATTCAAATTTACATTAATTTCAATTACATTTCTACTTCAGTGCTTCCCCAATCCCCAGAAAATCTGCTTTATTAAATGGAGTAGAGCAAGACTATCCAAATAAAATTAGTTTATAAAGCTGGGAAGTTTTATGCCAGTCTACTCAGAGTGACCAAGACAAAAAGTAGAGAAAGATTAGGTCTTGGTAACAAATCATAGAATAATTAAAAAGGATTTTAAAAGAAATTTAATTTTCTTCTTGTTTTTTTCCTAATATCACATAAACACTGACCAGCAATAAAAGCTACACACTTCAAGTCAGCAAGGGCAGTAATACACTGAGATTTGCCAGAAGTACTAACTTTTACCTGGCTTGGCTTGAAATCACAAACAACAAAATAGTTTTCTAGCTACAAAGAAAATGTATGTTTGCTAGGCACTGTAGGAAAAGACAGATAATCCAGGCATGGACCCAAACATATTCATTCAGTTTGCAAAATGGACAGAGATGCTAGAAATACAGGCAAGAAGCCAAGCCTGTGAGTAAATACAAATAAATGGAAGTTATCACATTAAAATCAGAGAACCATCAAAAAAAGCAGCTCAGGGTACTGAATTCACAGGACCAGTCTCCATTTCTGAAAACACTGAATGAAATGTAAGACTCAAAAAAGGGAGGAATAAAAGAAATTATCTAAGTTATTTAGCCTCTGAAACATGCACAGATTTGAAAATGAAAAATTAAACAAATAGGTGCAGTCACCAACTAGTAGATGTAGGGATTAATCACCAAAAACAAATCAGCTAAGTATGTATACTTGTTTGCATAATAAATTCACCTAGAAGGAATCACAGAGCTGTTTTAGAACCAATAAAAACTTCAGCAACCTGATATACACTGTTGCCTTACCTTCAGCAACTGCTCCAAGAACAAGGATACCAGATTCTTTAACTACCCATTCTGGATGGAAGAGTAATTCCTTCAAAAGGGGCAAGATGTGTGGCAGAAGTTCATCACGAAATACATTAGCCAGGACATCTAGAGCAGCAGCAGAACATTTTCCTGAGGGGAATCAACAGTGTTAATCTGCTTACAATACAAGCAATTGTAGCTAGACAGCATAATCCTCATTTTAACTTTGAGTTGCCAGGGCATTACAAGGAAAGATACCTACATTTAATTAAAATACACAAGAATCCACTGTGCTCTAGTACAAAGCCACAGCTCTTAGAAAGTCAATTTTTTTGAATTGTTATAGCCACTTGTCCTGGTTTGAGCCAGGATGAAGCCAATTTTGTTTCTGCTCATTTTTATATTTTTTTTGTCTTCAGTGAACTCTCTTTTAAGCAGCACACTTGCTGAAATCAACAAGTTTTCTAGCTAGCGAACTGCTAACGCTCAAATGTTTATAGATACTGGTAAGAGATCATGGCCACTTTGCTCCGCTTGTTGAATCTGCTGCTTCAGACACTAAAGGAGCAGAAGAATTGCATCTACAATGCTCCCGTAGGGAACAGTGGACTAGACAGATGGCAAAATTGGCCAAACAGAATATTCCATCCATATATATACAAACATCACACTCAGTGAAATTCAGGGATCACAGAAGTGAAGCCCTTGTTCCCTTCTTCTTCTGTCCATGGCCAGCGTCCAGGGAGGACTCTGTCTATCCATCTCCTTTGATCCCTACACCCATGTGTTCCTGACTCTCATATATCTAACCTCAGCTCCTGTCTGCCATGCCAATATCTCCAGAATTGAACCAGAACATTTTTGGGACTTCCCTGGCTCAGGGGAGCATACTGAGGGTGAGGAGAGGTGATAGGGGTTTTGTAGGTTCCTGCACATACTTGTATATATTTGTACATGTTTTCTATTATCATTAGTATTTAATTAAAGCTGTCTAGTCTAGTTTTCAATCCGGAAAGTTTCTCTCCTTTCCCTATTTGGGTGGGAGGGGGAGGGGATCGAGAGCATTATTGTCATTCGGTTAATTGCCAATCCTGTGTTAAACTGTGACAATAATATATTAGTGCCCAACATGGGGCTGTATCTTAAACCTAGGCTATCAATTCTGACTGGCTGAATAGCTAGAATTCCATCACTGGTGGGAGGATTCCCTGAAATAGCTATGTGCAACTCTTCTGCTGAATGTATTGATGGGTTGAAAAGTGAACAGACAATTCCCACAATGTTTTTGCTGGACCTTTTTTCCAATATGCAGTCATATATGTGGTATGCAGACAGGATAATACTGCTCTGTGTAGCTGCTCTTGTTATTGTTTTATGCTTTATTAACAAGATTATAGCCAAAGCCATAATCAATCATGTGATAACCTATTTAGTGATAACATGGGTTTTGATACTGATCTGTATGGTGGCACTGTATAGTAAGGATTTTTATGTTAATAGAATGGTTTATGTTGGTAATGGCAGGTTCTGTTTTATCTCTGTTTTCTTATGGGCTGAGTCCTTCAGTTTTTTATCTAAATAGCAGTTTTACTAGGGATGCTTCTGCTGAATGTTTATAATGTATTGCAGATGCGTAGAGCGAGATGGCAAGGCTGCTGCCACCACTGCTGCTGCTGCAAAGACTATGGCCACACCCACTCAATCCAAACGAGCTAAAGTTAATCCTGTGACTAGGAGCAAAGCAAAGAAACAGCCAGCCAAAACCACAAAAGCAAGACCTCTTCTAGATCCACGTTTAGCAGCAGAGGACCCTTTTATAAAAGCGATCTTAAGAGATGTAATAAAAGAAGCAGACGCTTCTAAAATAGATGGAGGAGCAGGCCCCTCGCAAGCAGATGATGGTGAGGATTTTGTCCAGCTTCTCTCCCTAAAGGACTTGCATATAATGAGAAAAGGCTTTACCCGTCATGAAGGTGAGCTGCTTCTTTCTTGTTTGCTCTGATGCTTTGATAGTGGGGCTGATACCTATGACATGGATGAAAGAGAAGCCAGGCAGTTGGAATCCCTAGTAAGAGATGCCAGTATCAATCAAGCGATTGGAAGAAGGCCAGGAACTACCACCCTATGAAGCAGACTTCTTTCAGCTATAAGGGAGAGATACCCCCATAAGGGTGACATCAACTGGCACCAAAGCAGAACATCCACACTTGAGAGAGCCATCATGTATTTGAGAGAATTAGCTGTGCGAAGTGATCTATGATAACCACGGGATTACAAAGCCTGAAGACGTTGTGTGCGATATGCCTATGTTCTGGAGGTTTGCGCAGGCTGTAGCAGCAGTACATGCCCATATATTCGCCTTCGTGGGATATTGGGATGAATTTGACTGACCAACCGTGCGTGAATTGGCTTAAAAAGCATGACAGTATGGAGGCGTGATCTCTGATCCCCGTCAGTTCCACACCTCAGCTGTTGAAAAGATGAAAAAGTGACTGACAGATTGACAGAGGTACTGAACAGATGGGGAGGCAGTCCTCAGTCTGCCCCTAGAGACATTGGAGACAATATTGCAGTCATTAAGAGAAGATGCCCTGCTATGAAACAGCACCAAGAGAGACGCTGCCTGCAGTCTCTCTTGTGCGATCATTATAAAGACGACATGAGAACCATTGCTGTTCTCCAGGTACATGTACAAGAGCTGCTACAAATACAGGAGAAGGCCCTTCCAGGATGAGGGCTGCTCCAGCCTCCAGTAACCAGTCCTCCAACCAAAATGGATGGACTCAATGTCCATTGAGTGCAAATGCCCAACATTAGAGGTGCCCTGCCAACAGCCAGGAGGAGGAGAGGGACAAGATAATTTATTGGACTTTGTGGATTTGGTGGCCTGGGACATTAGAACCACAGAAGTATAAAGCCTTGGTGGACACTGGTGCACAGTGCACACTAATGCTACTGAATTATAAAGGGACAGAATCCGTCACTACTTCTGGAGTGAAGGGAGGATCTCAGCTGACTGTTGTGGAGGCCGGTGTGATCCTCCCTGGTAAAAAGGGGCAAATGCACCCTGTAGTGACTGGCCCAGATGCTCCGTGCATCCTTGGCATAGACTATCTCAAGAAAGGATACTTCCGTGACCCGAAAGGGTACCGGTGGGCCTTTGGTATAGCAGCTGTAGAGACTGAGGACACTGAACAGCTGCGTACTTTGCCTGGCCTTTCAGATGACCCTTCTCTAGTGGGGTTGCTGAAGGCTGAAGACCAGCACGTGCCAATTGCCCCTTCAATGGTGCATAGATGACAATATCGCACCAACAGAGACTCTGTGATCCCCATTCATAAGCTGATCTGGCAAGTGGTCCATCCATCAAGTCCAGGTAGATAACCAGTTGCTCTCCCCTTGTCCACTGACACTGTGAGCCTATCATAGAAGGCCACGAAATTTGTCAGACATTATTTGTCTTTAGTGAAACCATGTTTGTTGCCACCAATCACCTCCTCATTTTGCATGTGCCTTAGCAGATTTTCCAGGAGGAATCTGCTCCGTGATCTCATCAGGCACAGAGGTGCCTGACTGGCCTGTAGTTCCCCGGGTCTTCTTTTTTTCCCTTTTTTAGAAATGGAGGTTATGTTTCCCCTTTTCCAGCCAGTGGGAACTTCATCACACTGCCATGACTTTTCAATTATGATAGATAGTGGCTTAGCATCTTCATCCACCAGTTTCCTCATCAGGTCCCATGGACTTGTGCACCTTCAAGTTCCTTTGATGGCCTCAAACCTCATCTACCCCCACTGTGGGTTGTTCTTCCTTCTCCCAGTCCCTGCCTTTGCCTTCTGTGATTGGGGGTGTGGCTTGAGCACTTGCTGGTGAAGACTAAGGCAAAAAAAAATAATAATAAAATATTTGAGTACCTCAGCCTTCTTCATACCCCAGGTAACCAGGTCTCCCATTTCCTTCTGGAGAGGGCCTACATTTTCTCAATTTCATTATTTTCTTTTTGATCATTATTGATTCATTAAAGCTGTGTAGTTTAGTTTCCAACTGTCCTGGTTTGAGCCAGGATGAAGGCAATTTTCTTTTTAATGATTTTTCTTCAGTGAACTCTCTTTTAAGTAGCACACTTGCAGAAATTAATGGCAAGTTTTCCAGCTAGTGAACTGATGATGCCTGAATGTTTAGTTACTGCTGAGAGCCACTTTGCTCCCTCCACTTGTCAGATCTGCCACTTCAGACACTAAAGGAACAGAAGAATCATATCTACAACCCTCCCGTAGGGAGAAGTGGACTAGACAGGTGGCAAAATTGGCCAGAGTATTCCATCCCCATAAGCATCATACGCAGTATAAATTCAGGGATCACGGAGGTCAAGCTCTCTTCTGTCCATGGCCTGTGTCCAGGGAGGACTCTGTCTATCCATCTCCTTTGATCCCTAGGCCTGTGTGTTCCTGACCCCTCATATCTCTACCCTCAGCTTCTGTCTGCCTTATTGCTAGCTCTGGAAGCAGTCCAGGACTTTTCAGGACTGTCCGCAGCTCAGGGAAGTATAGTGGGAGTTGCTGTGGGCGGGGAGGGTGCTATAGGGGTTTTACACATTCCTGCACATATTTGTATATATTTGCGCATATTTGCACATATTTCCTTTTACCATTAGTATTTAATTAAAGCTGTCTAGTTTAGTTTTTGATCTGGAAGCCTCTCTCCTTATTCTCTCTCTCCTTTCCCTATTCGGGTGGGAGGGGGAGGGGATAGAGAGCATTATTGTCATTAGTTTAATTGCCATTTCTGTGTTAAACTGGGACAGCAAGCCATAAGTCTCTCTCCCTTATATTCTTTCCCTTTCTGGGAAAGGAGAGGGGTTAATAGCATTTGTCATTCATTTAATTACCAGCTCAGCATTTAACCTTGACAGTAATAAAAAACTTTCTGCTCTGCTTATAGATTATGTCTAATATGTTTGAATTAAACACATCACAAGCTCTCAACTCAGAGCAGATCTCTAATGCAAAGCAAGAATAAATAGCACAGACTCCCACAAACCAGCATCTGCTGCTTTCAGATAAAACTGTTTCAGCTTTTTACTAAAGGTAGGCCCCCATATTTAGTTACCAGGTCTCATTAGTAAGCAATGCTGATAATTGTCAGGCTGTGCTGATGTTTATTCCTTCTTCAAATTGCAAGTCAAATATAGAACAGCAGACAAGAAGTAGGGCACACAATTCTGAATTTTAGATAATTCAAATTCTCTCAAGTCTAGATAACATAAATGAAAATATATTTCGTAACAGTTGTGTTCTCTCACTTTCCTAGTCAGCTTTAGCTTCCTCACCATCTTAACTAAAGCTGTGGACCACAGGGCCTCTGTCATTTCATCTGTTTTTCAGAAAAATACATATTTAATTCTGCAATCTCTACACCCAACCATAAGAACAGCATTACCATTCTAAAACTATATAAAAAAGATACTTTACAAATAGCCTATTTGTGCTAATTTTCTTCTAAAATAAATAATAGTTTAGATGTATTGTTTGATCCATAAGCTCCAAGGTACATTCATCTGTACTACATCTAACTACTGGTAATGTCTGTCAGTAGCATAATGGAAAAAAAAAATCAAGCACACAAACCAGATTTAGAGGGAAGACTGAAGTAAAAGAAAGCATTATTAAGGTTCTCCAAGCTAAGAACAATGTGTAAGACTTTCTAAAATAAAGAGGTGATTCATTATTTGTTTTATCGTGTAGAATTAAAAATCAAAATCCAAAGCTTCTGTTGAATGGCATCCAGTAGTTGTTTGCAGCTCTACCAGCCATATTTGAAGAAGTAAGCTTACACATGGCTAGCTTTTGTCAATGCAGTTAAATAGCCAAAAAGTCAGCTGAAAGATTCCCCTTCTGCCCCCACCACCAATTATATCAACAGATAGTTCTTTTTCTATTCAAAAGCAAAGTCTCAGTATTCCTGCACACAAACTCCTCTATTTGATGTTTCTTGTATTATGCAAGTAGCTATATTTTAAAACATTTTACATATTACTTTAACATACTTAAATTCCAGTCAGAAATAGTATCATCATCATCATCATCATCTTCAATACCATCTTCTTCATGTTGCTGAGCTACTGTCCGTGAACGATGAAAACGAGGTCTTATGTCCTGCTCACTATCTGGAATAGCTTCATCTTCTTCAACATCCCCCTGTTAAAATGTTTTATCAGATAAACCAGTGCAACTATATTGCTCAAGGAAGTTAAGAATGTAGTGTAAATTTTAGTTCAAGATTTCATAAGCATATTAAAGATTCACATCCCATTTTGTGCTGCCCAGCTAACTAAAAATACCATTGTTCTTGCATTCTGCTATGGTATTTACCAGAAAAAATTACAGGAAAACAGAAGCAAGAGAGGTAAGCTCAGACAAAAGCATGAAATATCCTTCTTGTAATGAAATTATTCTTGAAGGAATTAATTAGAAGGAAGAAGTAAGAAATTCTAGTACACAGACATATTCTAACATGTTGTGATGGAAAAAGCTATGCAGTTCAAGCTAGAAGGGCATTAGAATTAATTCTGAACTTTTTTTTTTATGCTGCATTGCTGTAGTAATTAACGGGTAAATGTATCCCAGCCCTGGGATGGGATGGGTGGGAGGGGACAGGGGCAAAGCAGAAAAGCTCACATTTTCCAACAAAAATGGCAGCAGTCACATTTAGTTTTTCTAACAGCACATCTTTCCCCAGAAAGCTAAATCTCCATTGAACAGATGGCAGACAAGATGTAGCCTACCAGCTCAATCATTCTGATTTAGAAGTCAGAAGCTAACCAGGTATTTTTACTGAGTTTAAAAAAAAATAAAAATCAATGCTTACCTTCAACAGAATAATATCAATCTCTGAATATTTCATACCATTTACCAGCACAGGTATCAATCTACAAAAAATATTGATACATGTCAAGAAAGAAGACCCTGGTAATTACAGACCTGTCAGTCTCACTTCAGTGCCTGGTAAAATTATGAAGGTTATTCTGGGATTTATTGAACAACACTTGAGACAATGCAGTCATTGGTCATAGCCAGGACGGGTTCACAAGGGGAAAGTCCTGCTTAACCAACCTAATTTTTTTAAATGACAAGTTCACCCATCTAGTTGACCAAAGGAAGCCAGCAGATGTAGGGGTTTTGGATTTTAGCAAAGCTTTTGATATTGTCTCTCAAAGTATCCTTCTGGACAAGATGTCCAGCATACAGCTAGACAAGTCCATAATATGATGGGTGAGCAATTGGCTGATGAGTTGGGCTCAAAAAGTTATAGTAAATGGGGTTACATCAGGCTGGTGGCCAGTCACCAGTGGGGTTCCCCAGGGCACAATTTTAGGGCCAGTGCTTTTCAATGCTTTTATAAGTGATCTGGACACAGGAATCCAATGTAGGTTAAGTTGGCCAAAGATACTAAACTAGGAGGAGTTGTTGACTCCGTCAAGGATAGAGAGGCCATACAGAGAGATCTGGATAGGCTAGAGAGCTGGGCAATCACCAACCATGTGAAATTTAACAAGAGCAAGTGCCGGATTCTCCATCATGGACAGAGTGATCCTGGGTACATGTACAAATTAGGGGACAAGAGGCTGGAGAGCAGCCCCATGGGAAAGAGCTCTGGGGGTTTGGGTTGATGGAAAGTTGAACACAAGTCAGTGTGCCCTGGCAGCCAAAAGGGCCAACCATGTCCTGGGGTGCATTAAGCACAGTGTCACTAGCTGGTCGAGGGAGGCAATTGTCCCATTCTACACTGCACTGGTGTGGCAGTCTACAACTTCCTAAAGGGGTGCAGTGGAGGGGGAGGAGCTGATCTCTCTCTGGTGACCAGCAATAGAACACAAGGAAATTGAATAAAGCTGCATCAGGGGAAGTTCAGATGAGACATTAGGAAAAGGTTCATCAGTGAGAGGGTGGCTGGTCTCTGGAACAGGGAAGTGGTCATGGCATCAAGCCTGTCAGAGTACAAGAAGCATCTGGAGGATGCTCTTGGTCAATATAGTTTAATTTTAGGTAGTCCAGCAAGGAGCAGGGAGTTGGGCTCAATGATCCTTATGAGTCCCTGCCAATTTGAGACATTCTATGTAAAAAAAACCCACAAAGCAAGCTGGTTTTCAGTTTGATTGACAGCTGGCTGAGCATTAGACAGCAGTGTGCCCAGGTGGCCAAGGACGCAAACAGCATCCTGACCTGCATAAGAAATAGTGTGACTAGCAGGACCAGGGAGGTGATCCTACCCCTATACTCAGCCTTGGTGAGGCTGCACCTCAAGTACCGTGTGCAATTTTGGACACCACAGTATAGGAAGGACACTGAGGTGCTGGAGAGGGTGCAGAGAAGAGCAACTATGCTGATTAGGGGTCTGGAGAACAGGTCTTATGAGGAGAGGTAGAGGGAGCTGGGGCTGTTCAGCCTGGAGAAGAGGAAGCTGAGGGGAGACCTCATTGCTCTCTACAACTACCTGAAAGGAAGTTGTAGTGAAGCAGGTGTTGGCCTCTTCTCCCTGGTGACTAGCGATAGGACAAGAGGAAATGGGGTCAAGTTGAGCCAGGGGAGGCTCAGATTGGATATGAGGAAAAATTTCTTCACATAAAGAGTGGTGAGGCATTGGAACAGGCTGCCCAGGGAGGTGGTGGAGGCACCGTCCCTGGAGGTGTTAAAAAAACAGGTAGAGGTGGTGAGCTTACGTAGATACATGGAATGGAATTTTGCTGTCTAACTCAGCCTCCTATGGGGAGGGTCATAGATCTCCCCATAGTGCCTGAGCCAGTAGAGCAAAGACGTGACCTTGGAGTCCCAGCAACAACAAAAACAATACAGTGTTTGTTATCAGTCTTAGCTGGAATGCTTTGCTAGTTAAAATAAAGCTTACTGAAGGAAAAAAAATCCGTAAAAGGAAAAGTGGCTTCAACCTAGCTCAAACCAGGACAAGGTGGTGTTTCAGGAGATGGTTTAGTGGTTAGGGGTTGTAGGGCAGACACTTGGATTTGATGATTCTACGATTCAGACACCTGGGCCATAATTTTGGTTGTAACCCCCCTCCAACAACAAGAAACTAACCAAAAAAACCCAAAGCAACAAAAACATAACCTGATAACAAAAGCTAGTACCTTAACCATACTACATTTCATGAGGTTCATCAATACTTTGTAATCTAAAAAAAGTATTAATTTCTAAGCAGTGGTAGCCAGATGGCGCAACAGTTTTACACTTTAAAAACAGGATATTCTTCTACATGGTGAAACTTATTCTTAAGAACTTTTCAGAAATTAAGTCTAAAGCTTTTCAGTATGAACATCAACTCCCAAAATATGCCTGTTAAACAACTTACTAAGTTGGCTCTCATGAAGAGCATTTGTTACTTTATTTATCCTGTGGCTGAAGATTCTACCCCACTGCTCATAAGGATGGAAGTCTAACTACATTAAGCCCTCCTATCCTTTTGTGATTACTTCCAGTATCAACCCTTAAGACAAATCCCCAATATTGCAGAGATCTTGATATTAGTTAAGTCATTAGCCTATATTAGACCTTGTCCTGGTTTGAGCCAGGATGTAGCCAGTTTTTCTTTTACTTATTTTTTTTTCATTCAATAAGCTTCCTTTTAACTAGCAGAAAGTGTTACAGCTGGAACTGATAATACTGGAATGTTTTTGCTACTGCTGAGACTTCAAGGTCGCATCTTTACTCTGCCGGCTCAGGCACTACCAGAAGATCTATGACCCCTCCGTAGGAGGCTGAGTTAGACAGACAGCAAAACTGGCCAGAGATATTCCATTCCATATATCTACATAAGCTCAGAGGAAGGTCAGAGATCACAGAAGACAACTTCCTTCCTGCTTCTTCTTCCATTCTCTTCTGTCCATGGCCGGTGTCTGGGGAGGACTCCATCCATCCATCACCGTCGACCCCCAGGCTCAAGCTCTCCTGACCCTCATCACTCTCTGCTTTCCCCAGCAGCAGTCTGGAACTTTTTGAGACTGTTTGCAGCTAAGGAGATGCTGTGGGAGTTGCTGGGGGTGGGGGGAAGCGAGAGGCTTTTGCACATACCTGAACATATTTGTATATAATTGAATATATTTTCTTAAATCTTTAGCATTTAATTAAAGCTGTGTAGTTTAGTTTTCTATCCACCAAAGTATCTTTCTTTTTCTCTCTCTCCTTCCCTACTTGGGTGGAGGGGATCGAGAGCACTGTTGTCGAACCCGAGTAAAATGGTGACAACAATTTATTGGCGCCCAACATGGGGCTAGATTTTAAGCCTAGATTATACATTTTCATTAATTGGGAGTGTTCAAAATTCCCACTCTGATAGATGACAATATTGCACTAACAGAGACTCTGTGATCCCCATCCATAAGCTGATCCATCAATTGGAAAGCCAGGGAGTGATCAGCAGGACTCACTCACCCTTTAACAGTCCTATCTGGTCAGTGCGAAAGCCTGATGGCGAGTGGAGGCTGACAGTGGACTGTCGTGGCCTGAATGAGGGGACACCACCGCTCAGTGCTGCTGTACCGGACATGCTAGAACTTCAGTATGAGCTGGAGTTGAAAGCAGCCAGGTGGTATGCCACTGTGGACATTGCTCATGCCTTTTTCTCTGTTCCTCTGGCACCAGAGTGCAGGCCACAGTTTGCTTTCACCTGGAGGGGAGTCCAGTACACCTGGAATCGACTGCCCTAGGGGTGGAAACACAGCTCAACCATTTGCCATGGACTGATCCAGGCTGCACTGGAGAAGGGTGGAGCTCCAGAACACCTGCAGTACGTCGGCAACATCAACCTACATGAGAGATCCAGTTCCTGGGAATCAGGTGGCAAGATGGATGTTGCCAGATCCCAATGGACGTGATCAACAAAATAACAGTTATGACCCCACCATCTAACAGTTTGAACAGGGCCAGACATCAAAAATGTGCTCTACACTGCAGCCGGGTATGGTCCTACCAGGCAACGGTCCTACCTGGAGCCTCTTGCAGAAAGAACCAGGGGAGTCTCGAGGTTGACCCCTGGGATTCTGGAGCTGGACCTACAGAGGTTCTGAGGCCAACAACACGACAACTGAAAAGGAGATACTTGCAGCATATGAAGGAGTTAGAGCTGCTTTGGAAGTGATTGGCACTGAAGTGAGCTCAAATAGGAATGACTAATCATCCAGGTATCGTACAAGCAATGACAAACTGGCCAGAAGGCACCCACTTTGGAATGCCACCACAAGAAGTGGTGAGACGGGCTCAAGAAGCTCCACCATATGATCACCTACCAGAGACTGAGAAACAATTTGCTCTTTTCACCGATGGCTCCTGTCGTCTTGTAGGGAACCACCGGAAGTG